CACAGGTAATCTAGCCGATTCTGCACATTGGTATCCGTCATGTCACGGATATCTCTCTGCCGAGAGTGACGTGCGGGCATAGGAGGGTCAACCGTGGACGTGGAGGCACGGTTCGATCCTCCCGAACCATTTCCCGTGGATGAGAGCTCCTGCTCGGCTGTCGCCCGCCGTTGCTTAGCGTACTCCGATTTGCACATCGCGACGTTCCGATCCTTCTAGTTAGCAGTGCCGACAATGTGCTCTTTTATCCTAGTCGCATTAGCCGTCACGGGAAATTTGCAATGAATGCATGTAGCACCAACGACCTTATCCTCTGCATTCTTAATCTTAATCACATGCTCCCAATATTCTGAAGCCGGTCGCACCATGGCGTCGATCAAGACTGAGCTAAGCTGAAGTGGGGCAGATTAGTGTTCTGAGGTAAGGTAGCCAGAGTGAAGATGAATGTGTCGAGTGACGTTTTTCACTACCAATAAGTACCTCTTAGAGCTTGCTGGTGCTGCTTTGTCGAGTGGTGTTTAAAACCAGGGTGCACATTCAACGCGGTTCGGCTTGAGATGTTGGGAAGGGGGTTTGGAGAAAAACAGTGATTGGCTCACGAGGGGCGACAAAAAAATGATTCCGCTAGAGCTTCGGGCATTTCGTAGGTGGCGGGAGGGGGTGAAATGGCGGGAGTGGGTGAAACCGAATGGCGGGAGGGATGAAACAGATTGGCGGGAGGGGGGGGAAACGAAATTGCGGGGGAGGGGGGAAACAAAATTGCGGGGGAGGGGGGAAACGAATTTCGACGGGGAGGGGGAAATGAAATTGCGGGGGCGTGGGGAAACGAAATTGCGGGGGAGGGGGGAAACGAATTTCGACTTGAAGGGGTTGAAAGCACACCTCGTAACCCACTCAGTCAAGGGATAACCTTTGATGCACATTCAGCTGAATGTGCACCCCGGTTTTAAGGTATGGTTGAGATGAGAGGGAAGTTGATTGGGTGCTTGCTACTGGCTGGAAATGCATCGCATGCAATTGTTTCCAGCACCACGACTGCATGCGAAAACACATTGCAAAGCGCGAATTGTGTTGACGAATACGCGAAACGGGTAAGAAAGTTGGCCGGTTCGCCAAATGTGTAAAACGTCGCGCCTCGTCGAATTGGTGTCGACACGATTCGGCGAACGACATCAACGACTCTGCGAAACGGGTACGCATTTCTTTCCCGTTCGTCAAATGTCAAAATGTCGCGCCTCGACATTTTCCTGACATACGCGACTCGACCCAAATTCTGTCGGGACTGACAAGACTTCGCAAGAAATCCCCCATATTGAACTCGACGGGTCTGAATGTTGAAAATCAATATACACTGTCTCGGTTTTAAACTTTCGGCCGAAAAGAACGACCGTATTTTTATTTGAAACTTAAATGTAACTAATGACCGTATTTTTTCGTATTAAACCGTTTTAAACGAACGTATAATACGATACCATATAATACGGTGGAAAATCAAAATTTCGATCGTATTTTTTATCCTTGATCCTATCCTACCATCCCTCCATCCCAACATCCTACCATTCTATCCACCCACCCTCCAATCTCCCCTCAGCACCGTCAGCCACTCACGCTGCCAGGCTGTGCCTCCTGCTCGCGCATCAGATCTTCCAGGAACCACCTCGACGAATCAGCGTCCGCCACGTCAGCCTTCATCTCCAGCAGCTCGATCACTATGCTCTCGTCCCGACTGGCATCAGCAAACACCTCCTGATAGTCACGCGGAGGGGGAGGGGGGAGAGTGGGGAATGTCGTGGCGATGTCTCGAGCAGCTCGATCACTATGCTATCGTCCCGGCTGGCATCAGCAAACACCTCCTGATAACCCCGGGGAAGGGGAGAAAGGGGAGGAGGCGTAGAGGAGGAGGGGGAGGAGGGAGAGGAGGAGGGAAGGGCGAAGTAATGGCTTGTTTCCAGCAGCTCAGTCACTCTGCTCTCGTCCCCACTAGCATCGGCAAACACCTCCTGATAACCCAGGGGCAGTTGGGTGGGGGGAGGAGAGGGAGAGGGAGGAGGGGGAGGAGGGGGAGGGGAGGGAGAGGAGGGGGAGGGGGAGGAGGGATAGGGGGAGAAGGGGGAAGGGGGAGGAGGGGGGAAGGGCGAAGTAATAGCTCGTTTTCATCAGCTCAATCACTCTGCTCTCGTCCCCGCTAGCATTGGCAAACACCTCCTGATTGCAGCAGGGAGAGGGAGAAGAGGGCGGGAGGGGGTGGGGGGAAAAAGGAGAGGCAGGAGTGGGAAGGGCGTGGTAATGTCTCAGCAACTCAATAGGGAAGAATAGGGGGAAAGGGAAGGGAAGCCCATGTGACGAGTGTTGCTGTGGAAGGTAGGTACTCGTAACTCAAAGTGTGCCTTGCAGCAAGTTCTCTCGGAATTCTTCTCACCTAGAAAGATCGACCAGAGGCTGCGGAACGAGTGCGGAATTCAGTCACGAACGACTCTGGTGGACGTTTGACGAAAAGAAACGATAAATTCGTTATAAGAACTACAATACCTCGCCCTGGTTGTCACGTCACCTCACCTGATTGTTGGGAACTTCTCGGAAGTTGCTGATGTCCTGCCAGGAGAGAGAGGCACAGCAACGTCAAGGCATTCGTTATAAGCACTACAACCGGACAAGGGTGCGTGAAACGAGTACATTGAGCTGGAGCGCACACCGCGGTTGTCAAAACCGACGAGAAATATACCAGGAATCACCTACCAATCTACACGCGCATTAATCAAGCTCTCTTACAAAAGCTTCGCTCAGTCATATTGGCGAGTTCTTTCCAAATTTAGACACGGATTCACTCGACCAACGGCCCTCCGTACCTCAAATCGCGGCGGGAAATCCGCCTGAATCGCACCGCCGAACAGCGCGTGTCGCTGCATCTCCTCTCCCGCAGATCCCGCTAGCGGCCTCTGTGGTTGCTGGGATTGCGACGGTGAAAGGTCGTGATAGCACGCTCCCGACATCCCCATTGTTCTAATCTAAAGACTTCGAGAGCTGGATTTCGTGCTTGCACTGAATTCGACCAACTCGTGATTGAAAAGCCTGCTCGCACGAGATTTTACCGATTCATGCGTGAGTCCATTTGTGTTGACGAAATATCGCTCTGACGTGTTAGGAACTTGTGCTTGCCTACTTAACCCTTAGTCGGCTTCACAACGAGACTAGAACAGAACCCATGTGCCAGTACATGTGACCTTAGGACGTGGTACATTTGCAGTAGTTTCGTGAAATATCGAGCCTGGGCGTTGTGGAGTGAATTGAGCGACGAGGTTGAACCTGCTTCGAACCCGGCTCTGCTGGTGGGGTGATAGCGTGGGAATGATATTCGCGAAGACATAAATGGAAACAAACTGCACTCTCTCGTACACATGCAGAGCTTCGCACAAACTGTGTATTTTATTGGTCTGTACATGTTTGGACGAATGACGAAACGCCTTGTGAAGTTACTGGACTGGAATTTTTGCACTACACAAAACGCATCGAGCCTGCGGTCGAGCGTGAAGCTCGATGCGGAAATTGGGTTTCCAGATTCACAAAAATTAGTATCGAAATTTCCAATAAGAACTTCGAGGCACCCACCTTTTTATTTCAGGCTCGATCTTGAACCATCATATTCTGGCCAAATGTTTCACGGCCTTCAGTTCACAGCACTGGGAAACATTCAGGTATTGAGTGCCTCAATTTACACGTAAACGGAATTTTTTTCTTTATGCGTTGAGTGTTACATCCTGATTGTGTGACAAATTCTTATTGCATTATTAAAACCTACCTAATTTTTTTTAGCAATAAATCTGCACCATAATTATATATATTATCTTAAAAACCTGTTAGATCATCATATTTGGCTTAGAATGCATTCATTTGTTTTCTTGGGATATAACAGAATAAGCAGTACATACTAATCACACAAGCGTTAAACCAATTCGCTTCGTAGTACAAGCGGGATCTGCAAAACGGGCACACAAAAATTCCGGCTAGGCTGAGCCGGCAGTCCTACAAGAATCGGACGGTAGCTGGGCGTGTCCTTATCCTAGGGATGCTTGCATTTCATGGCTGGGATTCAACGATCCAGCGCGCGACTTTCCAACCGCCTTGAAAATGCCGCTTCCCAAACCGCCAGCTCTATTGTGACCCGAGGTTTCAGTGTTTCCAAGGGAAAGCAGTCGTTAGGTGACCAGACACAGCCGTTTCGTCAGGCCAAGCGGCGCTCATGGCTTGGGTCACAATCTCTTTTAACGAGCGGGTCAGGAGGCCGATGGAGGATTCCGTTACGGTGGCTCGGTCAGTTGTTCGTTCAGGCAATTGTGCTAATAGCGGTGGCTCAATTCGTCCACGTCGCCACGCTGTCGAGCTCCCAGTGTAGTGGCGATTTAAATTCGCTAGAAAGGAAGCAAGGGTCGGGAACGTGGAGATTTCCAGGTTCATCTCAGCCGTTGATTCAGGGATCACAGGACAGATCGACTGATCTGGAGCTCGACTTACCTAGGCGGTGCAGACGGGTACTGAGCAGTGCGACAATCGGTGGTAACGGTTCTGTGGTAACCAGCTCACCGTACGAAACAGCTAATGTTACAAGTAACGCATTGCCAGCTGGTAGTACTGTGTCTTGCCAAAGAAAGCTCCGCGCAGCGCTGCAGAAGTGGGCGAAAGAAGCAGCGAAACGAGACTTCGCGAGCAGCAGTAACCACATTGAGGATAGCGGAGCTCTCAAAAACGAGGACAGTCCTCACTGGGAGTTCAACGAATCACGTTCGGCAGAAATCCAACTGGATTCAGTTCAAGCACGTGGCGAGCTGGGCCACGTGTGTTCTCCCGATTGGCTGAATGGCATCATGGCTCGTTTACCTACAAGCAAGTACATGATCTCGTCGCTGAAGCGTAATAATCTTACACGGGAGAGCATCTTAGCGGGGTTAAGATCTACATGTGATGAAGTCAGAGCGGTGGAGAGTGGTTTGATCAATGGCATCGTGTCAACAAACAGGATTGGTCAGAACAACAGTGGTATAGGAGACATCTATAGTCTTAGGAGCAGCAGCAGCAGCAGCAGCAGCAGCAGCAGCAGCAGCAGCAGCAGCAGCAGCAGCAGCAGCAGCAGCAGCAGCAGCAGCAGCAGCAGCAGCAGCAGCAGCAGCAGCAGCAGCAGCAGCAGCAGCAGCAGCAGCAGCAGCAGCAGCAACAGCGACAGCAGCAGCAGCAGCAGCGGCGTCGGCGGGAGCAGCAATAGCAGCAGTGGTGGTAGTGACTATAACGGGGGAGCAGAATGGCCAGAAGCATGCTGGCCCATCCCTGGCGTGCCGTTTAACAATTACTCGGTAATTGCTCCCCACTTTGCGACACTCCACTTTCCCACACCCCACATTCCTACACCCCACATTCCTACACCGCACATTCCCACACCAAAATACCTAGACCTAATTCCCACACCCCACATCCCACAACCCACATTCCCACAGTACAGTCCACAATTTCTCCGCTCTGTTCCTATGATTCTCATTCTCTTTCTCTTTTCTCTTTTCCACAATTACTTTGTACAGCTGATCCCTCCCTCCCCCACTCCACCCCACACCTCCCTTCCCCCCTCAACGCATTATCCCTAACGCTGCAGCCCCTCTCCCAGCACTGATACCTGGGTGCTGGCGGCAGTGACAGAGCAGCTGAGCAGGCAACCATTACCCCTCTAATCCCTGCCTTCTCTCCTCTTCCCTGCCCCCTCTCCTCCTCCCGCCCTCTCCTCCTCCCGCCCTCTCTCCTCCCGCCCCCTCTCCTCCCGTCCTCTCTCCTCCTTCCCTCTCTCCTCCTCTTGGCCATCTCTCCTCCCACCTGCAGCCCTTCGCCAAGCGCCGCTACCTGGTGCTGGCGGCAGTGACAGAGCAGCTGAGCAACGCGCGGGTCCATCTGGTGGAGGCGGCCAGGCTTGCACAGCGGACAGGGCGGATCCTCGTGCTGCCTAAGGTGAGGAAGCTCGGTTGCTGCACCGCTGCAGCCTGCTCACCCACATAAGCGGTACACTGGGAAGCACTGTTGTGTGACGTTGCACAGCAATGCTTTCTTTCTTTCTTTCTTTCTTTCTCATTCTGGTGCAACAAGTTCCATATGTTTCTTGACTTGCCATCCTTGTCGTTCCCTCAGTGCATCACTATAAGCCTGCCAGTCAGCAGTCAGTCACATCTCGTTGTTTTCCGTTCTCCCCCTTCCTCCCTCCCTCTTTCCCTCGCCTTCGCACTACAGCCCTCAGGGAGCCAGCAGCCACATCTCCCTCGGCCTACCCCTCCCATTCTAAAATGTCCTCTCCTTCCTTCTTTCCTCTCGCTGCCTTTCCCCCTCACTCCCCCGTTGTTTCTTCCCACCATCTGCCACCCCCAGGGAGCCAATGCCGCATTTCCCTCGGCCGGCCCCTCCCCATCTCGAATCTCCCCCTCTCTCTTCAACTCTTTCTCGTTCCCCCTCACCTCACTCCCCCATCGTTCCACCCATTGCAACCCCCAGGGAGCCAACAGCCGCATTTCTCTTGGCCAACTGTCTCACCTCGACTTTTCCCTTCTCCCTCCCTTGCTTCCTCCATTCTTCCGTCCCTCACTGTTCCTCCACCCTCTGCCACCCCCAGGGAGCCAACAGCCGCATCTCCCTCAGCCGGCCCCTACCCATCTGCTCCTACTGGGACATTTCCCGCTTTACCCCCTACGAGTGGGTGTCTCCCGAGTTCTACCTCCTTGCAGCGCGGGCCACCCTCACACGCCCGTCCGTGGGGTTCGTGTGGGTGCAGTCCCCCAACATGATCGTGAAAGGGCCGTTTCAGGCGGGGATGGTGATGGGGGTGGGGAGCAACGTGGGGGGAAGCGTGAGGGGCAACGTGGCGGGGGTGGGGCGGGACAGGGGTGTGATGGCGCCGCTGCTGGTGTATGCACTGGGGCATGTGCCGTGTGCCAGCAACACTCTCGACGTCGCCATGCCTGCTCGCAGCGACGCCATTATCAACATGCTGCATGCATGGTGAGCGGTGGGGATGGGTGTAGGTGGGTGGAACGGGAATGGGGTCTGACGCCCGTCCGCGGGGTTCGTGTGGGTGCAGTCCCTCAACATGATCGTGAAAGGGGCGTTTCAGGCCCCAGGGATGGTGATGGGGGTGGGGGGAAACGCAGGGGAAGGGGGGAACGCAGCAGGGGTGGGGCGGGACAGGGGAGTGATGGCGCCACTGCTGGCGCATGCACGCACTAGGCATGTGCCGTGTGACAGCAACACTCTCGATGTCACCATGCCGGCTCGCAGCGACACCATTATCAACATGCTGCATGCATGGTGAGCGGTGGGCAGCTCTGGGCGTAGGAGTGGAGATGGGTGGGAAGGGTGCATGGGATGGTAGTGATGCGGCATGAGCAGCATAGTCACGAACTGCACTATCGTTCAAGGTGAGCTAGGGCCTTCCTTCCGTCTTGCCATCCCTTACGGCTGGAACCAATTTGGGTTGGCACGTGAAACGAGTGTATTTTTTGGAAGTCCCAAAAGTACACTCATTTCACGTGCCTTTTTTGGGGGTCTTGCCATCCAGTACGGTTGGAACCGGTTTGTGTTTGGCTCAAAATCATGCCACTCTCTCATGCCACTCAAGCCACTCAAAACACATTCCCAGTTGTCTCCCCATCCACGTATGTGCAACGTGAACCATCCAGGAGAGGGACAAGGGCTCCATCGTATCGCTTAAGCATGGCCCCTCACAGCTGGACTTCCCCATCCCCTCAGACCGCCTTGCTCTTCCTCTGCTCGTATTTGAGAATTCTCAAATACACTCAAGCACTCCCTCTTGTCTCCCCTGTCTCTTTCTTTCTATGCAACTTGCAACCTCTGAACCGTCCAGGAGGGACAAGGACGTCATCATATGGGTAAAGCACGGTCCGTCACGGGTGCCGCCTCGCCCTTCCTTTGCTCCCTTGCTCTCAAGCCACTCATTCTTGTCTTCCCTGCCTCACTTCTTTTGCAAATCGCAACCTGTGAATGATACAGGAGAGACACAGAAGTCATTGCTTAGGCCACTCACGTTCGCCTCTCCTTCTCTGTCAACCCTTGCATCCATGCAGGAGGGACAAGGATGTCATTATTTGGGTGAAGCACGGCCCGTCACGGGTGGATTTTCCGATCCCATCAGACCGCATTGCACTGCGTCACTTGCCATACAGCACCCCTTTGCACCGCACAGCACAGCGGATTGTTGCCAGCCTGCCCAAGCCCCTCATTGCCGTGCATTACCGCTCCGAGTGGATCGCCTACAGAGTGGTGAGCAGTGGTGAGAAGTGGTGGTGAATGGTGGTGGTGTGTTGGTGAGTGGCGTCCTTTCAGGTCTAAATGACTCGCACATTGAGTGGTGCTGTGCTGTCTGGTGAGCTAAGATTGTTAATGTTTGAGGCGCCTCAAAACATGACTCGCACATTGAGTGGTGGTGTACTGGCTGTCTGGAAAGCTAAGATTGTTAATTTCTTAGGCGCCTCAAAACTTGACTCGCTCATGGAGTGGTGGTGTGCTGTCTGGTGAGCTAAAAGTGTTCATAGAAAGCCGCTGCCTTGATCTCTTCCGTATGTGATGAGACAAAAAAAATTAGTCGACTAAAAAATCATCTCATCACACGTGGTGGTGTGCTGTGCTGTCTGGAGAGCCAAAAATGTATTTACCATACATGAAAGTTGAAACCACTGCTTTGATTCCTTCCGTATTGTCCAACTCACCACAGGCGAAGACGATCGGCAAGGTGCCGTATGGGCAGAGCGCCGTGGGGAAGGGCGTGCGGGTGATGGCATGGTTTGATTTGTCCTTCCCCCTGCCGTGATCCACACCCAAGTGTGTCATCCCACTCTCACAGGCAAAGACGATCGGCAAGGCGCCGTACGGGCAGAGCGATGTGGGGAAGGGCGTGCAGCTGATGCGGTGGTGTGCGGAGCAGGCAGTGCATACCATCCTGCAGGCTCAGCACAACAGCAGTGCCAGCAGCAGTGCCAACAGCAGCCTCAGCAGCAGCGCCAACAGCAGCGCCAGCAGCAGCGCCAGCAGCAGCGCCAGCAGCAGCGCCAGCAGCAGCGCTGCATACGTCTACATTGCTGCCGACGTTCCTTCCACTGCACACGTTCCTTCCACTGCACCCGTTCCTTCTCCAAACGACCCCTTACCGGATGGTCATTTGAAAGCGAGTCATCTTCCAGATGGCCCTTCCCCAGATACCGCCTCCTCGGAAGGCTCTTCTGTGAAAGCCCCTTCCCCTGGTGGCCCTTTGGAACATGGGTCTTCCACCCTGGCCATGTCTCATGGCACCATACACTCTGCCTCCTGGGCCAGCACCATAGGCGCATATGGAGGCGTGGGGAACGAGCGAGAGAGGCTTGTGGACGCGGCAGTGCAGGGGTTGCAGTTAATGAGGCGGTCTATAAAGGGGACGGTGATGATAGAGGAGCTGCTCCCAGACGCCGGTTCATATGACCCTGGTGAGTGTCGTTGGCTTGCATGCTGAGACGTCTAAAGGCCACGTGAAATAAGGTTGGTTTTGAGACATCTCAACACCAAGTTTTCTTGAGGGTACAGGGATAATAGAGGAGGTGCTCCCAGACGCCAGTTCATACGATCCTGGTGAGTGACTTTGGCTTGCATGTTGAGATGCTGCCATTGCGCTTGAGTCGAGGTGTATTTTGAGTCGAATCTAGATGCATCTATAGTGGTGACGGTGATAATAGAGGAGCTGCTCCCAGAAGCAGGTTCATATGACCCTGATGGGTGTCTTTGGCTACTTCTCTGAGGCCCTGATATCTGAGACGACTTACAACTCAAAGCTCTTTTGAGAGGTCTTTAAAACACAAAACTCCTACGACCCTGATGGGTGTCTTTGGCTACTACTCTGAGGTCCTAAGATTCGAAACGATTTACAACTCAAAGCTCTTTTGAGAGGTCTTTAAAACACAAAACTCCTACGACCCTGATGGGTGCCTTTGGCTTCTATGCTGAGATCCCGAGATTTGCTGAGCGAGCCTGAGATGCTGCGTTTGGCCTTCTCTCTGTTTGGACATGGTCTTTGCGGCTGTTTAACATTGCATGCTGCACTGCTGTTCCCAGCTACATGGAAATCACTTTTGAGAGTTCTCAAAAGCTTTTGGGCCTTCCCTCTGTTTTGACATGGTCTTTGTGTCTGATTTAGCATTGCATGCTGCAATTCTGGTCCCACCGTCTCTATTTTTGGCTGGTTGGTGCCTTTGTCTTTTGCATTGACATGGTGGCTTCGCCTTTCTTGCTGCAATGCTGTGATTGGCTCTCTGCTGTAAGACTCAGCATCAAGGATTAAAAATACGGTTGTCGTATTATACGGGCCGTTTTTTACGGTCGTATTTTACGGTCAATTTTCAAAAATTCGGCCGTTTTTTTGTTAGAGTTTTTATCTCCGCAAAAAAATAATAATCAAACTTCAGACTTGCTACCATCCACTTCTAGGGATGTGAACATCAAAGAAATTGCTAATTATCAGGCCGAAAAGGCCGCTCCCCCCCCCCAAACTCAGACTATTATAAGCGGCTCCGCTTGTGCGGCGATTTCGCCCGCCGATCTGCGGATACCGGCGATTTCGCCCGCCGATCTGCGCAGATCGGCGATTTCGCCCATAGCTCTGCACAGATCGGCGATTTCGCTGGTCAAATTGAATTCGCCACGAACTGAGAACCCAAAGTCAGGCACCCCTTCCTCCCCGTCAAAATTGTTGGAACTCAATGTCCCAACCAATTCGTCGCCACTTACCACTTGTCACCGCACTGGATCTACAAGACCCAGCCCCCCATACACTTTCACAGATCTCGACATTGGCCTCAGCCCAACCCTAGACTATCACAGATGGCCACAGAACCTGTCTGAGCTTTTGTGGGGATGTTCCTGAGCCCCACGGAAACTCCAAAATCTCGTTTCAAAAATTCGGCCGTAAAAACCGACCGTATTTTTTAACGAACCTAAAAATGCAAGGTCTGGCCGTATTTTACCGTTTAATACGACCGTAAAATACGATACCGTATTTTACGGTGAATTTTCAAAAATTCGGTCGTATTTTTTAACCTTGCTCAGCATCATATTGCATCACTGGCTTGCGCACCAAAGTGAGGCTGTATATGTTGCCGTTTTTTGCACTGACTGTAATCTGTGTGAGTGTGTGGTGGGGGGTGATGGTTGTGTGTATGCAGGAATGTTGGCAATTCTGGATAAGCTGGTTTGTGCACAAGCAGATTTCTTCATTGGAGGAACAGTGGTTTGTGGAGGAAGGAGAGGTTTTGAAAACGATATCCTCCAGCATCGAGCACTTATAAAGAACGTGACACAAGAGAGGGATATCAGATGGGGCACTGAGGATCTTCCAATAGAGCTACAATGATTTGATTTGCGTTATGGCATCGATGTTGTGGAATATTATGCTTCACTTCCTGGAGTGAAGCGCTGTTTTCCACAGCCTTGGTTTAATATATCTGTGGCCTCATGGCGAACAATGTATTTGCAATTTGCAGCACCATCCACTAATCTCTTTTTTCTTCTTGGTATGTCAAATTGTCACTCTAGATGTGGGACTGTATTGCATCTATATTCTACCTGAAATGAGGTAGTACATGTTGGAAACAAGTAACTTAAACACTTCTGAAGTATCGAAGTATCGACACGAAACGAAGCAGACTACAGTGAAGCAACACGAGTCAACAAAAGCAACCGCTGGAGGCAGGGCCTATGTTTGGTTTTTGGCTACTCACGATTAGCAGTGTAGCCTTTTTCAAAACCCTTCTGATCAGTGTGTAATTTTTCGTTACACTGATACATCAGTGTAACATTGAGTTTCGAAAAATTTACCCTAGAGCATCAGTGTAGTATATTTGTGTACCCTTATCGCATAAAACATTTGTAGTAAATTGGGTGCTGGTGGGTGGGGGTTGTGGGGACCTCGAGTCCCAAATTTGGGACTCGTGTCCCCAAACCCACGTTTTCGCCGAGTCAGCAAGCTTCCCGGGGGGAACGTGGGTTTGGGGACCTCGAGTCCCAAATTTGGGACTCGTGTCCCCAAACCCACGTTTTCGCCGAGTTAGCAAGCTTCCCGGGGGGAACGTGGGTTTGGGGACCTCGAGTCCCAAATTTCCGAGTCAAGATAAAGTTTTTGCAGTGAGTGCAGATTTGACCAATCAGGTTGCATCGCCTCTACAGTAGGTTGCAAGCAGGCATGGAGTGACGCGGTGTCGGTTGTCAGTACTCGCGTGCTGACGTCGTAGTACATCATTACGAAACTGAGTGTATCGTTACGTAATTTCTAGGAAACTTCGTCTCGATGAGTAGAGTTCGGAAGGGGGGGTGCCCTGTACGCCCTTAAGGGTAATCTTCGCTAAGGGAAAATTTACCCCAGAGCATCAGTGTGGCCTAAATCGTTTCACTGTCAAATCAGTGTAACACTAATTTAAAAAAAAAACACCCAAACACATCAGTGTAGGCCCTAAATTTTACCCTTCTCATCAGTATAGCAGTGTGATTTACACTGATAAAATAGGCCCTGGCTGGAGGTTACGCGAAGGTCAAGGTCGCTGACCTTTGACTCGACGAAAAATACAGTGCGACAGCAAGGACACATAACTGATTCGATACTGAGCAGTTACCCGAGTCGGCACTATATCGAACCGCAACAGCAAAAACAGTTAAAGTATAACTTTTCATATTCCTTCGTTATCATATAAAAGCCTTGTATTTCTCTGCTACCGTATTATCAACTTATCTTGTTTTCACACACTAGTACAAGGTGGTTCAGCAACTCTGATATTAAACGTTTCCGCAACTACAACATTCCTACTTCAACCCCGATCTTAGCCTTGAAAGATCCTAAGGGCTTTTTCTCAGCCCAACATGGTATGAGAGCTAACAGGGCAAGATCGATTTCTCAAAAACCTACAACAACGCAAGACATGGCAACACAGAAGGAGAGGAGCTCCTCTAACGGATCTCTCGGCACTACTCCTACTCCACCTCCAGCCTCTGGCCTACAGACAGAGGAAGGCACAGCAACAAGACCAGCTGCGGAGTCAACCGAAAACCAAGCAGCAAGCTTCGACCCAAACATGATGGAGAAATTCTTCTCCTTCATGTCCTTCTACGAGCAACACCAGCAAGCAGCTCCTGCGCAATCAAACAACAGTAACAACAACAACAGAGCAACACCGATGAGCCTTGACGGCTCATCCTATGCGCGCGGAAATCAGCGGCAACCCACCTTTGCTCCGTACGAGCCTCAACGTGGCTCCATCAGCTTCGCGCCACAACCACAGTCTTCACCTGGACAAGAGAAGACATTGGACGCACTTCAAGTTCAATCACAATTCGCACATGTGTTAAAACTGCAAACGTCAACGCTCTTCGACGGAAAGGACTTCTATACCTGGTCATTCGAGTTTGAGCTGATGATGGAGGGCGCGCAAATTCTCTGATTCTTCGACGGGTCCCTGCCATATCCAGCACATGGGACACAGTACGACAAGCAGCAGTACACATATCAGTCGCTGATGGCATATACGATACTATTGCGAAAATTATCTCCAAACGAGCAGCAGAACATCCGGTCTTATCGAGGATATGGCAACTCCGCCGAGCTGGCATAGGACCACCTGAAGAGCCAGTATCAAGCAACAGACAGTGTTAATCAAAGTCGCCTCATGGCACAGCTGACAACAATGGAAATGAAACCCAGCGAAAAGGGAATGGCGTGTTGAGATGAGCTCATAAGCTAGGTAGCCATAGCTAGGGTGTGAGCTAGGCAATTGTCGAGAGTAAAAAGTGAGAGAGGAAAAGAGGTTCACTAAGAAAAGAAAGTACAAGATATAGGCAAAGCAACCAAGGTGCACCACCAAACAAGTTTAGCACTACACTAAGTCTACACTACAGGCAGTTATAGGATAATGCATACAATGATATTATGACACACCCCCAAACTGCCTGCAGTGAAGAATCATGTGCAGAAACACCCCCTGAAGGGGTACACCCTGCGCAGCAGAAGAAGGAGATGGCAAATAAGGAGGAGGCGGCTGATACTGCAGTTGGACTCACGGCACCCCCCAACCTCCCCCCGTACAGCACTAGCAGCAGCAGTGAGGAGAGAGAGGAGGAGGCGTGGCGGGAGTTGCTGCAGCTCTGTCACCCACCACCCACACCCTCCCCTCCCCTCCCCACCCCCCAACCCCAACAGCTGCACGTGCAGCAGGGAGAGGGAGGAGAAAAGGGGGGGAGGGGGGGGGGCGGGGTAGGGGCTGTGCATGGGGCTGCAGATGCGCGTGCAGAGGGCAGCAGGGCGCACGGGGCGCACAAGACAGCAGGGCGTGCGTGGCGCGCAGGGCTGCAGGGCGCGCGGGGCGCGCAGGACAGCAGGAAGGGCTGTAGCGGCCGCAGCAAGGACTATAGCAGCAGCAGCAAGGGCTGTACCGGCAGCAGCATGGGCTGTAGCGGCAACAGCAAGGGCTGTAGCGGCAACAGCAAGGGCTGTAGCGGCAGCAGCAAGGGCTGTAGCGGCAACAGCAAGGGCTGTAGCGGCAGCAGCAAGGGCTGTAGCGGCAACAACAAGGGCTGTAGCGGCAGCAGCAGGGCGCGCGGGGCGCACAGGGCAGCAGGGCAGCAGAGGCGCACAGGGCTGCAGGGCAGCAGGGCGCACAGGGCTGCAGGGCAGCAGGGCGCGCGGGGCACGCAGGGCTGCAGGGCGCGCAGGGCGCGCAGGGCAGCAGGACAGCAGGGCGCGCGGGGCGCGCAGGGTCGTAGGGCGCGCGGGGCGCACAGGGCAGCAGGGCAGCAGGGCACGCGGGGCGCAGCAGGGCTGCAGGGCGCGCGGGGCGTACAGGGCAGCAGGGCGCACAGGGCTGCAGGGCAGCAGGGCGCGCAGGGCTGCAGGACAGCAGGGCGCACAGGGCTGCAGGGCAGCAGGGCGCGCGGGGCGCGCAGGGCAGCAGGGCGTACAGGGCTGCAGGGCGCGCAGGGCGCGCAGTGTTAGAATTGCCATATTCTAGCATGCTAACACTTGTGACTGTACACGAATTGTGGTGTACAGTTGGGTTGGGACTACACCCAACTTTGGGTGCAGTCTTGCATTTTGGGGTGCCAATCCAACCCAATTGTGGTGGAGCCCCCAAATGCAACCCATTGGGCCATGGGTTGGCCCACTCTCACAAAGTGAGGCCAACCCAACCCAATGGGCCATAGGTTGGCCCACTCTCACAAAGTGAGGCCAACCCAACCCAATGGGCCATAGGTTGGCCCACTCTCACAAAGTGAGGCCACCCCAACCCAATGGGCCATAGGTTGGCCCACTCCCCCAAGTGTGGCCAACCCAACCCAATGGGCCATAGGTTGGCCCACTCCCCCATTCCCACCTCCCTCCTTTCCCTTCCAACCCTCTCTTCCCAAAGCTATGTATGCTTGCCAAATCTTCTAATCAAACTAATGCTTGAGTTTCCATTCCTCACATGGTATAGAGCTAGGTTCTCCTACGGCCTTCCCTTCCCCCTCCCATTTGTGTTTCCCAAGGGCCCACCACACGCTTCCCTCACGCCGCGACCGTTCCGTCGCCGTCGTCCCCTCCCCTTCTCCCCCTCCTCATCTCGGCACCTTCTCGCCGCGACCTCCCCGTCGCCGCGTCCCGAGGATTTCACCGCCAAGTCCCGCCGATTTCGCCGCCGCGTTCTCTCCGCCCGCGGATTTCCCGCGAATTTCCCCGCCGCTGCGGATTTCCCGCGAATTCCCCGCGGATTCCCCCGCCGCCGCGGATTCCCCGCGGATTCCCCGCGCATTCCCGTTGCCGCCTGCCCTCCCCGTTCCCGCGACCTTTTCGTCGCGCATTACCCGCGGATTCCCCCGCCGCCGCGAATTTCCCGCGAAATCCCCGCGGAATCCCCGTGGATTCCCGTCGCCGCCTGCCCTCCCCGCCCCCGCAACCTCTTCGCCGCGAATTTCCCGCGGAATCCCCGCGGATTCCCATCGCCGCCTGCCCTCCCGGCCCCTGCGACCTTATTCGTCGCGAATTCCCGCGAATTTCTCGCGGCATTCCCCGTCGCCGTGCATTCCCCGCGGATTTCCCGCGAAGTTCAGTCGCCGCCTGCCCTTCCAGCCACCGCGACCACGCCGTCGCCGCCTGCGCCCTTCTACCGCCGTGACCGCGCTGTCATCGCCCGCGGTTTCCGCCGCCGCGACCACATCGTCGCCGCCTGCCCATCCCACCTCCTTCCCCTCTCCGCTTCCTCCCCCCCTCTCCTTGCAGCTCCAGCCGCGGCAGCAGCAGCAGCAGCAACAGCAGCAGCAGCGGCAGCAGCAACAGCAGCATCGGCAGCAGCAGCAGCAGCGGCAGCGGGAGCAGCAGCGGCAGCAGCAGCGGCAGCGGGAGCAGCAGCGGCAGCAGCAGCAGCAGCAGCAGCAGCAGCGGCAGCGGCAGCAGCAGCAGCAGCAGTGACAGCAGCAGCAGCTGCAGCAGCAGGAGCAGTAGCGGCTTCCCCCGCAGCGGCAACAGCAACGACATCAGCGACATCAGCAGCAGCCGTGCCAGCCGCGCCCGTGACTGCTCCCTCCTTCCCCTCCCCCCTCTCCCCCTCTCCCTCCGTTACTCCCTCTCCCCTCTCCTTGACGCCGGCGCAGCAGCTACAGCCGTGGCAGCAGCGGCAACAGCAGCAGTAGCAGCAGCGGCAACAGCAGCAGCAGCAGCAGCAGCAGCGGCAGCAGCAGCAACAGCGGCATCCCCAGCAGCACCACCAGTGGCAGCTGTGCCACCCGCACACGTGACTGCACCCTCCTTCCCCTCCCCCTCTCCCCCTCTCTCTCCGCCTCTCCCTCTCCCCACTCCTCGAATCAGCGGCAGCAGCGGCGGCAACAGCAGCAGCAACGGCATTCCCAGCAGCAACGACAGCACCGGCGGCAGCACCGCCAGTGGCAGCCGTGCCCGCCGCGCCCTTGACTGCACCCCCCTCCCCCTCCCCCTCTCCCCCTCTCCCTCCGCCTCTCCCTCTCCCCTCTCCAATCGGCAGCAGTGGCAGCCGAGGCATCCCCAGCTGCAGCAGCAGCAGCGGCAGTGGCAGCAGCAGCAACAGCAGCAGCAGCGGCAGCAGCAGCACCAGCAGCAGCAGCAACAGCCGGAGGGGTCCACCAGCAGCACCTCCCCCTCCCTCTGGCCGCCGCGGGTCCACCCGCCGTCGCCTCCCCCTTGACCGACGCGGGTTCACCCGCCGTCGTCTCCCCCTTGGCCGCCGCGGGTCCACCCGCCGCCGCCCATCATGGCCACCACCCCTCCTGTTCCTCTCCCCCCTCCTATCGACGCCTCTTCGGTTGACAAGCTGCAGCTTGCTGCAGATCGCTCCGCCATCAACTGGCACTCGTTCGTCGGCAGCATTCGCCGCGTCCTTCAAGACGCCTTCGTCGGACCCTACTGCGTCCTTGACGTCCTCCTTCGCCGTCCGCAGGCTCTCCAACCGACCGCACCCAATCACCCTGGCGAACCTCCTCCCCTCCCCCCCCCGCCCTGGCCCCCCTCCTCCTGAGCCTAACCTGACCGTTGCTACTACCCCCAAGCTTCAGGCTGCTGCGGACGCCACCTTCCTCCACCACCGCCACGAATACCTCATCCGCAAGGCCGACCATGACGTTGCTCTCCTCGACTATGTGTTTGCCTCGTCAGAGCGTTCCACTCGCCTGGAACTGATTGCCGAGTACAACACCTCCATGGCGGCTTACGTCCCCAACAGCGTCGCCTGGGCCGCTGCCGACAACCGCGCTTGCACCATCCTCCTCGGTGCACTCCCCAACACCCTTATGCGCCGCTTCCAAGCTCGCGAGATGCGCGCTCACCTAATTTGGACCGAGCTCCAGTCTATGTTCGAGCGTCGCGACATCAGCTCTGTTGGCGTTCTCTTCCAGGAGTATTTCTCCATCACCCTCGCCACTTGTGACGGCGCAGTCGACTATGTCGGGCGCATGCAGGAAGTTGCCGATCGCCTTGCCGCTCGCCATGCTGCCCTTTCCGAGCCCCTGCAGATCCACCGTATGCTCTTCAGCCTCACGCCAGACTATGAGTCCCGCCTTCACGCCTTCACCGAGGCGAACCCCTTGGCTGGCCTCCCCGAAGTGACGCAGTGGATCATTGACACGGAGGTCAAGCTCCGCACCCCCATTGTCAACCTCACCACCACTCACTCCTCCTCCGCCTCCCTCAATGCCACACAGCCGCGCACTCAGGGTGGTCGCACCGGCGGTAGCGGGGGTCGTGGAGGGAGTGGAGGTGGCAGTCGGGGTAGTGGCCGTGGTGGCCGTGGTGGTAGAGGTGGTGGTGGTGGTCCTAGTGGCCCCACTCCCGGAGGCTCCTCTAGTGCTGGTGGAGCTGTGAGCCGTGGTGGTGGTCACCCTGGGACTCTTCCCCCCTGCACGTATGTTCGCCGCCACGGTCCCCACGCCGGCACGCCGTGTGGTCAGACCAACCACCCCCCTGCCACCTGCTTCAAGGCGCTTGATGACGCCTGGTTCGACCGCGGCGCAGTGTTAGATTTGCCATATTCTAGCATGCTAACACTTGTGACTGTACACCAATTGTGGTGTACAGTTGGGTTGGGACTACACCCAACTTTGGGTGCAGTCTTGCATTTTGGGGTGCCAATCCAACCCAATTGTGGTGGAGCCCCCAAATGCAACCCATTGGGCCATGGGTTGGCCCACTCTCACAAAGTGAGGCCAACCCAACCCAATGGGCCATAGGTTGGCCCACTCTCACAAAGTGAGGCCAACCCAACCCAATGGGCCATAGGTTGGCCCACTCCCCCAAGTGTGGCCAACCCAACCCAATGGGCCATAGGTTGGCCCACTCCCCCATTCCCACCTCCCTCCTTTCCCTTCCAACCCTCTCTTCCCAAAGCTATGTATGCTTGCCAAATCTTCTAATCAAACTAATGCTTGAGTTTCCATTCTTCACACGCAGGGCAGCAGGACAGCAGGGCGCGTGGGGCGCAGTAGGGCTGCAGGGCGCGCGGGGCGCACAGGGCAGCAGGGCGCACAGGGCTGCAGGGCAGCAGGGCGCACAGGGCTGCAGGGCAGCAGGGCGCGCGGGGCGCGCAGGGCTGCAGTGCGCGCAGGGCGCGCAGGGTAGCAGGACAGCAGGGCGCGCAGCGTGCGCGGGGCGCACAGGGCAGCAGGGCAGCAGGGCGCGCGGGGCGCAGCAGGGCTGTAGGGCGCGCGGGGCGCACAGGGCAGCAGGGCAGCAGGGCGCACAGGGCTGCAGGGCAGCAGGGCGCGCGGGGCGCGCAGGGCTGCAGGGCGCGCAGGGCAGCAGGACAGCAGGGCGCGCAGGGCTGCAGGGCGCGCGGGGCGCACAGGGCAGCAGGGCAGCAGGGCGCGCGGGGCGCACAGGGCTGCAGGGCAGCAGGGCGCGCGGGGCGCACAGGGCTGCAGATCCTCCCCCCCCAACTGCTGCACCCGCAGCAGGGGGGCTGGTGCTGCAGATCCCCTCCCCCCCACTGCTGCACCCACAGCAGGGGGATGGAGGAGAAGGGGGGGGGGGGGGGCTGGTGCTGCAGATCCCCTCCTGCCACCCGCTGAACCTCCAAGCTCCCCCATACTCTCCCCCCACAGCAGCAGGCGCAGCCGTGAGAGGGGAGGAGGCGTGGCAGCAGCAGATCCCCTCCTGCCACCCCCTTAACCTCCAAGCTCCCCCCCCCTTCCCAACACAAGGTGCGGCAGGGAGAGAGAGAGGAGAAGGGGGGGCGGGGGGGTCTGATGCTGCAGATCCCCTCCCCCCCACTGCTGCTCCACTATCCGTCACTCCCCAGGGATGAAGGAGAAGGGGGGGGACGGGGGGGGTTGGTGCTGCATATCCCCTCCCCCCCACTGCTGCACCCGCAGCAGGGGGATGGAGGAGAAGGGGGGGGCGGGGGGGGCTGGTGCTGCAGATCCCCTCCCCCCCACTGCTGCTCCACAATCCTTCACCCGCCAGGGATGGAGGAGAAAGGGGGGGCGGGAGGGGGCTGGTGCTGCAGATCCCCTCCTGCCTCCCCCTGAACCTCCAAGCTCCCCCCCCCCTCCCAACACAGGGTGCGGCAGGGAGAGAGAGAGAGGAGGCGTGGCGGCAGCTGCTGCTGCTGAGGCACATCCGCCACCCCCTCACACCCTCTCCCCCCTGTCCCCATGGAAGGGGGGGAGGGGGGGGAGGGGGGCGGGGGCGGAGCTGCGCGTGCGACTGCAGGGCATGCGGGCAGGGGAGCTGCAGTCGCACGCGCAGTGCCCCCCCCTCCATGATGCGACGGGGCACCGGGGTCGCGACTAGGGGCGACAGGTCGCGAGGGTCGCGGCTAGGGGCGACGGGGCCTGGGGTCGCGAGGGGCCGCAGCTGGGGGCGACGGGGCCTAGGGGCCGCGGCTAGGGGTGACGGGGCCAAGGGGCCGAGGCAACGGGGCGACGGGCCTAGGGTCGCGAGGGGCCGCAGTTGGGGGCGACGGGGCCTGGGGGCCGCGGCTAGGGGCGACGGGGCCAAGGGGCCGAGGCGAAGGGGGCCGCAGCTGGGGGCGACGGGGCCTAGGGGCCGCGGCTAGGGGTGACGGGGCCAAGGGGCCGAGGCGACGGGGCAACGGGCCTAGGGTCGCGAGGGGCCGAGACGACGAGGCCTAGGGGCCGCGGCTAGGGGCGACTGGCCAAGGGGCCGAGGGGCTCCAGCTAGGGGCGACGGGGCCAAGGGGCCGAGGGGCTCCAGCTAGGGGCGACGGGGCCAAGGGGCCGAGGCGACGGGCCTAAGGGGCCGCGGCTAGGGGCGACGGGGCCAAGGGGCCGAGGCGACGGGGCCTAGGGGCCGCGGCTAGGGGCGACGGGGCCACGCCAAGGGGCGACGGGCCGGGGCCTAGGCTAGCAGGGCAGTAGGTGGTGGGCCCATGAATATTAGGTCCTAGAAGCGACCTACTATGATAGCATGTTGAGATGAGCTCATAAGCTAGGGAGCCATAGCTAGGGTGTGAGCTAGGCGATTGTCGAGAGTAAAAAGTGAGAGAGGAAAAGAGGTTCACTAAGAGAAGAAAGTACAAGATATAGGCAAAGCAACCAAGGTGCACCACCAAACAAGTTTAGCACTACACTAAGTCTACACTACAGGCAGTTATAGGATAATGCATACAATGATATTCTGACACACCCCCTAACTGCCTGCAGTGAAGAATCATGTGCAGAAACACCCCCTGAAGGGGTACACCCTGCGCAGCAGAAGAAGGAGATGGCAAATAAGGAGGAGGCGGATGATGCTGCAGCTGGACTCACAGCACCCCCCAACATGGCGTATATCAGCCGTTGTCGCGCACTGCGCGACAGACTCCTTCGATGCGGAGGAGCAATATCCGAAGAAGCCTTTGTAACAGTCATCATCGCCGGCCTCGGTCCTCATTGGCGCTCCACTCGAGCACTCCTTCGAGCTCACGGGAAGATCTCCGAAGCAGCACTATGCGTCGAAATTCACGCTGAACAGCAGGATATGGACCTGCACAAAGAACGACACAAGAAGAAATCGTCAGCACCAGAATTCGCTTTTCACACTCAACGACGCTACAACAACAACAACAACCGTCAAAACAACCGACAAGTACAACAGTACGTCCCACCGTTCTGTCATCTTTGCAAGACGTCCGGACATCCGCGCACACACTGCCCGAATCAGCAGCAGTCGACAACGCCGCAACGTCAACTTCGGCCTTCAAGCAGTCAAGTAGCTTCTACACAGGCGCATCCTGTAAAACTTATATGCTGCACATTGTGTAGTCTGTAGTGGGGTAGCCCATAAGGGGTACAACCCAATTAGGGTTAGTACTTGTACCAACTTTCTGTTCAATGCATTCATTCTCGTTTGTAACTTTGACATGGAATCAGAGCATGTTCCTTGGGCCCACCACCTGCTGCGCTGCTAGTACCCCGTTTCCCTAGGCCCGTCGCGCCCCTTAGGCCCGTCGCGCCACCCCACGGCCCCTTGGCCCGTCGCGCTCATCGGCCCCTTCGCCCCTAGCATGGCGCCCCGTAGGCCCGTTGACCCCCGGCCCGTCGCCCCTAGCCCGTCGACCCCCGGCTCGTCGCCCTAGGCCCGTCGCCCCCGGCTAGTCGCCCGTCGCCACCTAGGCACGTCGCCCCGCGGCCCGTCGCCCGTCACCACCTAGCCCGGCGCCCCGTAGGCCCGTCGACCCCCGGCCCGTTGCCCCTAGCCCGTCGACCCCTGGCCCGTCGCCCTAGGCCCGTCGCCCCCGGCCCGTCGCCCATCGCCACCTAGGCCCCTCGCGACCCACGGCCCCCCCTCTAGCGACCCACGGCCCCTTGGCCCCTCGTGCCTCACGGCCCCCTCTAGCGACCCACGGCCCCTAGGACCCTCGCGACCCCCGGCCCCTCTCGCGATCCTCGACGCGTGACCCACGGCCCTTAGGCCCCTCGCGGCCCCTAGGCCCCTCGCGACCCACGGCCCCTCCCGCAACCCACGGCCCCTTGGCCCGTCGCGCCCATCGGCCCCTTCGACCCCAGGGCCCGGCCCCTTTTCGCCCGTCGCGCCCCTCGGCCCCTTCGCCCATCCGGCCCCTTGGCCCGTCGCGCCCCTAGGCCCGTCGTGCCCCTTAGGCCCGTCGCGCCACCACACGGCCCCTTCGCCCCTAGGCCCCGGCCCCTTGGCCCGTCGCACCCCTCGGCCCCCAGGCCCCTCGGCCCTTAGCCTAGGCCCCCCCTCGGCCTCGTGTTTGGCCCCTCGGCCCCTAGGCCCGGCCCCTCGGCCCCTTGGCCCCTAGGCACCTCGGCCCCTCGGCACCTAGCCTCGGCCCCTCGGCCCCGCCCCTTTGCCCCTCGGCCCCTAGTCCCCTCGGCCCCCTCGGCCTCGTGTTTGGCCCCTTGGCCCCGCCCCTTGGCCCCTCGGCCCCTAAGTCCCTTGGCCCCTCTACCTCGTGTTTGGCCCCTAGGCCTCGTGTTTGGCCCCTCGGCCCCGCCCCTCGGCTCCTCGGCCCCTAGTCCCCTCGGCCCCTCGGCCCCTCGGACCCTTGGCCCCTCGGCCCCTCGGCCCCGCCACCCTCGGCCCCTCGGACCCTCGGCCCCTCGGCCCCTCGGCCCCTCGGCCCCTAGGCCCCTCGGCTCTGCCCCTTGGCCCCCTTTGCTACTACTGCTACTACTGCTACTGCTGCTCCTGAGTACTGCGCCACTATGGCTTCGCTTCGAGTCCTAGTGTTCGATCACGAGGGCAGACCGGTTGCATTTGACACGGGGCACGACGATCTGCAACTGTACCTACTGAGCGATATTCAGGACAGTGTCTCGCTGTTTGACCACGTGTCCGGTGTCGCTCCGGCCCCTCCCGCCACAACTGACGGTGCGACTCGTTCCCAGTGGCTGTCTCGTGACGCTACTGCCCGCTTAGCCATTCGCAACCACCTGCCGGTGGCCGAATGTACTCACTTTGGACAGCACAGGCCCTGTACGACGCTGTCGTTGCTCGCTACTCCTCCCCAGCCACTGCTGCTCTAGGCCGACTGCTACTGCCCTACCTGTTCCCTGAGCTGTCGGCTGTTGCCACCGTAGCGGACCTAGTTACCCACCTGCGCACTAGCGACGCTCGCTACCCCGCTATTGTCCCTCCTGAGTTCCTTGCCACGAACCAGCCCCCCATGTTCATCACCCTCTACTTCATAGTCTCTCGCCTCCCTGACTCTCTTTGCTCTGTCAGGGACCACTTTCTCTCCCTTGACCCCACCTCCCTCACTGTTGACCTCCTCGAGCAGCATCTCCTCACAGCTGAGACTAGAGCAGTTGCTGTAGGTGCTGCTCGTGGCACTCCGCGCCCGCCCTTCTTTGAGGGGTGCTCCCCTCCCCCCTTTCCCCCTCCTTCGCCTCTGCTGCTGCTACAGACGTCTCTGTTACTGAGGACGTCGGTGCTGCTTCGACTAGTGCGAAGCGCCGCAGCAGCAAGAGCAAGGGTGGCCGGGGTGGTGGAGGTGGCAGCGGTGGTGGTGGAGCAGTGGGAGCGGTGGTGGGGGCAGCGGTGGAGGTGGTGGAGGCAGTGGAGGTGGTGGCGGCGGTGGGACTGGTGGCGGCAGTGGGGGCTCTGGTGGTGGCGGTGGAGGTAGCGGAGGGAGTGGCGGCAGTGGAGGCGGTGGGTCTGGTGGTGGCAGGTCTGGACCTCGGCGTGGAGGCCCTGATGTTGGTCAGCAATAGCAGCAGCAGTGCCGGGGTGAGACCCAGTCGCCCCAGCAGCTCCGTGACTGGTTGGTTCAGCGTGGGACGGGTGGGGGTAGTGGGACCTGCCCGTATGTCATTCGCACGGGTGTCCGTGCGGGCCAGACATGCGGGAAGTTTCACACTGAGCACCGCTGCTTCTCCCGCCTTGACGACGCCTGGCGTGCTGAGTTTGGTGACGACGTCGAGCGCCCTCGCTGGACGGATTTGCTTCGGTCGGGAGTTGCTATCTTTGACCTAGACTATGATGCTATTATCTCTGCCATGTATGCTTTGTCTTTTAGTACTGAGGGTGTCTGTTACCAGTGTGTGCCACCTGACCCACGTATAGCGGCTGCTGCTCTAGGTGCTAGTGCGTGTGGTACTCCCCCTGGTACTGCGCCTGCTGAGGCCTTGCACACCTTCACATTGGACTCCAGCGCCTCGCGCTGTTTCTTTTGTGATAGCACCACTCTCACTCCTCTCCCTGCACCTGTCCCGGTCAGACTAGCTGACCCCTCTGGGGGCCCGGTCGTTGCTGGTTCCTCCACTGTCCTCCCGTATCCGACGGTTCTGTCCGGCTCACTGTCAGGTCTTCACCTCCCCTCGTTCTCTACGAACTTGGTGAGTACCGCTGCCCTTCAGGATGTGATGGTCACTACCACCACTCCTGGGGGTCAGCGTGTGTCGATCTACACGTGCACACGGGCGGAGCGTCACCTGGCTACGTTCACTCGTCGGCTTGAGAAGGGAAGACACAGCGCAAGGTGGGGTGGTAAAACTGCCAGCCAGGCGCGTCGGGGACAAAGCCAAGGAAGACGCAGGGGATAGCACGGGGGGAGAGCTTGTCCGCTGACGTATCGCGAACGAAGGCACGAGATCCCCAGACCCGGAACACGGACGCATCGCCAACCTCCCCCGTCCAACGCAATGTGGGCGAGGTCTCCGGCAAGGAGACACGGGGCCAGAGTCTGTACACGCTGGCTACCGAGCCTCCTCAGGTCGTTGCGTCTGCTCAGGTGTCCGCGTCAGGTCAGGTAGCCGCCTCTTGCTCGTGTCGCCTCCTGTCCAACCAGACTCTTCTGTGGCACCACCGCCTTGGTCACCCCTCCC